CCCCCCCCCCCTCCTTTTTTTTTCTCCAAATGATGCTGGCTGATCTTACAATCTCTCTGCCCATATCACTTTCAACCTGGGCACTGGCTGTGTCTCATGGTGCCTCTCTCTCTCTCTCTCTCTCTGTTGGAAGGAGTGGGCCAGGTTGTGCTCCAGGTAGCCGCAGCCACCAACTGCAAACATCACTACGGTGTTGAGAAAGCTGACATCCCAGCCAAGTACGCGGAGGTGAGTGACTCTGGGGGCAGATGGGTGGGATGAGGTCATTGTCTGGCCTGTGGCCTTAGTGGTTATAGCCCCCTCTAAGAAGAGAGACTGGTAGCCTCATGGCAGAGTGTGTGTGTATGTGTCCTCACTGCGTGCTGGTCCCGGGGGTGCGTCCTTGGGTGCAGGCCGTGCTGAATGTCCCCCGGTGTCCTGGCTGCGGGCTGATTGGAGGTGGAAAGCAGCACAAAGGAAGCAGGCAGGCAGGTCTGTTGACGCCTCCTGCTCCTTCTGCGGCCACATGGCATCCCCTCACTAGATGACAGGACAAATTTGAGACCATGGACAGCCCACGAGTATGGGCCGCAGGGAACTGCCAAGACCCCGACCCCAAGTCAGCTCCTTCACAGAGTGTTCAGCATGTCCCTCTGTGGCTGAGGGCTGGTGTCCCTGTGAGGGGATGTCGTCCTCGCAAGTTGTGGTTGCTCAGGCACCAGGGAGCTCAGCACTGCCTCCTGGGGGCAAGCATAGCTCACCTGTGGGCCTTTGTTACTGCTGGCCCTAGGGTGTGCAGCAAGCTTACTGCTTGGCCCAGGATGTCACTGGGCTGCCCCGCAGCCGGGGAGCACTTCTTGGCCTCCCCCAAACCCATGCTGGGACTTTGGTTTTTGGGAACCTGTGTGATTGAGCCTTGGCCAGCACCCTGCTCTTGGGCGTCTGCTTGGGCAGTGGTCAGTGGGGTGTGGGGAGGTAGCCTGCATGGTGTTCCCATCCTCGTTCAGGTTTTGGGGTCCAAGTGCCCTGGGGACTGGAGTCGTGACTGGCTCCATGAGGACTGGGAGACAGGGCCCTCATCAGGCCCTGCTGGGCGGTGGGGGTGGGGGCAGCATAGTGCCTCAGGGTGAAGAGGTCCCTGGTGTGTGACGCTGTGTGGGCTTTCTTCTTGCAGACGATGGACCGAGAGTTCAGGAAGTGGATGAAATGGTATGGAAAAAAGCATGCCGAATACACAGTGAGTGCCCTCCGTGCTCCGTGCCCTCTCCCCGCCCCGCTCCTCTGTCTCTGTGGAAACACAGGGTTTCCTCCACCCTCTCCTCCTGCCACTCTGTGGCACCATCTGGGTGTGAGTTCGACACTCGGGCTTCCTCTTGCGTCTCCGTGAAAGCCAGCCCATGGGACCCTCTGTCATGCCCCTTCCTGTCCTGTCTCCAGCACCCTGTTTTCTGGCAGCCCTGTTAGCTCCATCGTCCAGTGTGGCTGCACCATCTGTGTTCCGCCAGCCACGCGTGTGGCTCCTGGTGCTCCCATGCTTACCAGCGTTTGATGTCAGATTCAGACGCAGCCACTCCATTCTGACTCACGCTTCCACAGTGACGTACGGTGTGGGTGTCTCTCCACCTGTCTGTGGTGAGGGGCTATAGTCACATGTTTTGACCATTTTCAGCTTGAGTTGTTTGTTTCCTTATATATAAAAAAAAAAAAAAATCCAAACTCACTGCCGTGGAATTGTACCCGACTCAGAGCGACCCCTCCTTGAGTTTCCGAGGTGGTATCACTACAGAAGTAGATTGTCCAGTCTTCCTTCCAAGGAGTGGCTGGTGGGTTTGAACTGCCAGCCTTCTGGTTAGCAGTCAAGTGCCTTAGGCACTGCGCCTCCAGAGCTCCTGTTTCTTATTGTTGGAGTTTTAAGAATCCTTTGGATATTTTTGATATGTGCTCTTTATTCCCACAAACGTTTCTCTTTGCTGGGCTGTGTTGGGACAGCTGTGGCATGTCTGTTGGGCCAAGCCACTGTGTGGAGGCTGTGTCTGTGGTTTGCATGGTTTAGGGTGCTTCACAGTACAGTCTGAAGATATCTGTACCTGTCCCCTGTCTACACATCATTGCTGGTTCCCAGGGCTGCCCAGCGTTTCTGCAGGCGTCTGTTCCCCTTGAGTGTTGTTGCTGGTTCCCGGGGCAGCACTGTGGGTCTGTAGGCATCTGTCCCTTGTCCGTGTGTCATTGCTGTTTCCCAGGGCTGCTGCAGTGGGCTTGTAGTGCCTGCCTTCAGATTGCTGTACCCCCAGTGCTGTTCCAGGTGAATGTCTTGAGAAGATATCCTCTGTCTGACTTTTCACACCACACCATAGGAACTTGTGTCCAGGTGTTTTGAAAAGACCCAGTAGCTCACTACACCTTTGGCACAGAGCCAGGCTGGTGGCTCAGACCCCCCACAACTTGGTCACTGAGGAGGGGAAGCGAGCAGCAGCTGAAGTGACCGTGGTGACTTGGCCTGGCTCCTCTCGGCCAGCACCTGTCAGCCTCCCCGCCCAGCCCTGAATAGGCCTGACATGGAGCTCTTCCAAGCTGGCACCTCTGGGCCACGTGCTCCCTGCCTCTCTACCCAACCCCTGCCGGCAGCTGTGGCTGGCCCTGTGGCCAACTCCAGTCCTGTGGACACTGTTGGGTCCTAGGAGGGCATGCTGCTCTGGCCTCTGCCTACAGGCCCCTGCTGGCTGTGAGCTCTTCCTTGGTGGAGGTGTCTGTCTCTGGGCACTGGACACCCCCTTGATGACAGGACTCAGCATGCAGGGTGCAGTGAGATCCCTGCATCGGGATCCCTAAGACCCCTAGGAGAACTCTTGAGATGGCTACCCTTGGGCTGTGACCCATGCCAGTGCTGCCACAGACCAGTCAGCACAGGAGATGGGTGCCACATCCCGAGGCCCCTGCACGTGCAGTGCACAGACACTGGCTGGCAGGGATGCTCTGTGGCCTCTCTCCTGCCCGCCACATTCTGCTGTCCCATCATTGGTCAGGGCATGGGCAGTACACTGTGTTGGTATGTGCAGGGGTGTGGTGGCAGTGGGGTTGCAGGTTGTCCCTGCAGACTGAGCCACCCATCCACTGTGCCTTTGGGAGCAGCTCTGGGCAGCTGGCCAGGAGTGCTGGGGCCTCTTGGGCCTTGTCTGTGTGTGGCTGCCTGCTCTGTGCCCAGGAAGGAAGGGGCTTTGGTGTCACCTTGTAGCACCTGGTGCAGGTGTGGGCATCTCTCATGGCCTCTGCTAACAACTCTGGGGATATGTCATTCCACATCCCTTACCCATTTAAGGTGAACTATCCAGGGATTTTAGTGTATTTACATAGTGTGAAACCACCATCTCTGTCTGGTTCTAGAACTTTCCATCTCCTAGAAGTAAACCCCACACCCCTTAGCAGTCACTTCTCGCCCCTTCCACCAGCCCCTGGCAACCTCTGACTCACTCTCTCTCTGTGGCTTTGCCTGGTCTGGATGTTTTACAGAAGTGGGCTCAAGATGCTGTAGCTTTTTGCTTCTCTCACTGGGTATTGTCTTCAAGGTTCATGCATGTCAGGGCCTTGCTTCTCTTAGAGGCCGAGCAGCCTCCGTTGTTTGTGGATGGGCCATGTTGTGCAAACCTACCTCCTGCGGGTGGACGTCTAGGTGTGTCCACCTTGGGCCATTCTGAACTGTGCTGCTGTGGACATGCATTTGCAGCTTGTTGTTTCTCTCAGGTATGTACCTGGCAGTGCAGACGGTAGCTTCTTTGAGGAGTGGTTTAACTAGGTTCTTTATAGTAAGAGGTGCCTTCTGTTTGCTGGATGGTAGCCTTGAGGCAGGTTGATATTTTGCTCTCAGGAGTCACCCTGGGCTCAGGCTTGTGTAGCAGTGGCGTGCTGTCTTCCGAAACAAGACAATAGGACTGTCCCAGGAGCAGCTGGTAGCATATGTCAGTTTGGGAAGCATGCAGGTTTGGTATTGTCAGTGGGAAGGGCAGCTGCATGTGGCTCACAGACCAGACAGTGGCTTTCCTTCTCTGCCTCTCCCCAGTGAACGCACATCCCAGTATGACACTGCTCCCTAAAGTCCGACTTCTCTGCAGGAGCGTTTGCTAATGTGCGCCTATCCTGAAAACCTATTTATTTTATAGGTCCTTTGTGCCAGGGGAGGGGGACAGATGAGGCAGAACCAGGAGGTGCCTGGCCTGGGCATAATGGTGCACGGGACAGGCCGGGATCCTTAGGTGGGGTTGCTGGGAGCCTCACCCTGGGAGGGCCGCCTGTGGCAGCCTCTGGTACTCACCCTGAGTGCATCCTCTGCTTTTGTGTTGTTCTGAGAGAGTGTGTGGCTATAACAACATGACGGCACCAGCCTATGTGCTCATGTGGCGAGCCGTGGTCCACCTAGCTGCATCCTGCTCAGCTCTCTGGCCTGCCATGGCTCTGGGCTGCGGACCCCTTAGGCCTCTCATTGGGCCTGTGTGGGCCCTGTGCAGTCACCAGTCAGGACCCCAGCTGTTCCTTCGCCCTGAGCCATTCTAGCTGTGCCTCAGGCTCCTATGCTACCCACTGTGGAAAGGCTGCTGGTTTCAGCTCTTTGTGGGGTAGGCAGCACCCCAGGAGACCTGTGTGATAAACATTGTCTGTTTTCTTCCTTTCAGCTGGAAAGAGGCGATTTCCTCTCTGAAGAGTGGCGTGAGCGGATTGCGAACACGAGGTACGGCTGGGTGGTGGCTCCTAGCTGTGCCCCAGGCAGCTCACTGCCTGGAGAGGCACCAGGAGCTGGGTGGGCAGCAGCTATGGGCAACTGAGCGGCAGGGCCTCACCCTAACTGCTCCTGAAGTGGGGGCCAGCACACCCCCCTTGGGAAGGGCTCCTCCTGAGGATGGGAGGTGGTAGGTGCGTAGTCCCGTGATGTCTGTGAGGCTGCAGCAGGGTGTCTCACTCTGCCTGCTGTGGTCCTTCTGCGCCCTGGACCCTGCAGAGCTGCTACCACCCCAGGACGCTCACGTCCAGGTGGGGTCCTCTGCTCTCTGTGCCCCGTGCTTAGCACACTATGCCTGTGCGAGGGGTCGCCCCCATTCTGGGGCCCTTTGCTTCCGGTTTGGCCTCTCTGTCCCTGGCTGGATTCAGGGATGTCTTTGGTTTTGGGGGCATTCCCTGGACGCTGGTCATGCGCTCTCATCATCCCCTGCCCAGGGTCACCTTGATATCTGAGAGTGCTCACTGTCAGGACGGCCTGTGCCGAGCTCCCCACCAGCTGACATTCTTGGTCCCCAGGCTGCTGTGTGACCTCAACATTGTCCTGCTTGAAAAGCTGTGTCCCCAGGTTTGGGGGTAGTCAGAGCTCTCAGAAACAAGGCCAGAGCATGGTGTCCCAAGACCTCATGAGGCCTAAAGGGGGCCTGTGAGGCCTGTGCCAATATCCTGGGGCTGCCGTGACAGAGCCCCACGCACTGGGGCTGAGGACACAGCCCCTCGAGCCCACTCAGTTCTAGAGGCTGTGAGTCTGGGTTCGGGGCAGCGGCAGGGCCACACTCCCGCCAAGGCTCTAGGGGAGCCTGCGTCTTTCATCTCTTGCAGCTTCTGTGGCCCTGAGCTTCACTGGGCTTATGGAATCACTGCAGTCTCTGCTTCCCTCCTCACACCGCCATCTGCCTGTGGTGTCTGTCTGTCTGTCTGCCTGACTTAAAAGGACACCAGCCGTTGGATCACGGCCCACCCTGCTCCAGCAGGACATGCTATTAATGCATGACACCTGTAAAGGCTCTCTTTCAGACAGGGCCACTTGCCTAGCTATCAGGATTGGGACATGAGCATATCCTTGGGGGACATGGTTCGGCCCAGAGCAGGAGTATATGGGCAGCCCCTGGAAGAAGTGTCTTGAGCGAGGAGGCTCTAGTGCGCTCTGGCACTCTGGGCAGGGCTGCATATTTGGTATCTGTCTCCCATGCCCTGCGGTGGCGCCTGGGTCCTTCCATGTCCCCCTTCCTCCGTTAATGTTCCCTGTGCCCCGCCCGTTGTACCTGGGAGCAATCGGCAAGCAGGCCTTCTTTTCCAAATGAGTCCCCTGCCCTCACTTCCGTGTTAGGGTGTTGGATGTGTGGGCCCTACAACAGGTGCTTCCCCTCCTTGGAGCCTAATTGGAGCTGATGCTAATTGTTGGCTGGCTCTTCTTGGGTCTTAGCAGGCCTCCATGGTTAACACCCAAATACAGTGCAGCCCTGACCAGCTTCCTGCCGGTGGCATCACTGTGGGTGCTTCCTACCCACTGCTTTATTTGCAGGGGTGTCGAGCATGGCTTTCTTGGCTGACTGTCCTTGTGTGTGAGGTGGTGGTTGTCAGGTGCCACTGAGTCGGCTCCGACTGACAGCGACCCCGTGTACGATAGAACAGTGCGCCACCTGCTCCTGCACCATCCTCAGTCCTTGCTGTCCCTGAGCCTATGGTTGCAGCCACCATGTCAGTCCATCTCATGGAGGGTCTTTCCCTTTTGTGCTGACCCTCCACTTTACCAAACCAAACTCACTTCTGTCCAGTCGGATCCAGCTCGTAGCAACCCCTCGTAGCAACCCCTCCTTGGGTTTCCAAGGCAGGATCACTATGTGAGTAGATTGCCCAACCTTCCTTCCAAGGAGTGACTGGTGGGTTTGAACCGCCAGCCTTCTGCTTAGCAGTCTAATGCCTTAGGCACTGCGCCACCAGAGCTCCTCCCCTCTACTTTACCCACCATGATGTCCTTCTGCAGAGATTGGTCCCTTCTGACAGCATGACCAAAGTCATGAGACTGGCCATTCTCCCTTCTAAGGAGCATCTGCCTGCACTTCCTCCAGGACAGATTTGTTAGTTCTTTTAGCAGTCCAAGGTACTCTCAGTATTCTTTGCCGACACCACAACTCAAAGACATCACCTTTTCTTCAGTCTTTCTTTCACATGCTTATGAGGCGACTGTAAATACTATGGCTTAAGGTAGCCACACCTTAGTCTTCAAAGTGACATCTTTGCTCTTCAACACTTTAAAGAGGTCAGAGGTCTTTTGCAGCACGTTTCCCCTAGTGCAGTATGCTCTCTGATTTCTTTTTTTTTCTTTTTTTTATTAGGATTTGGGTGAAGATTTACAGAGTAAATTCACTTTTCATACAGCAGTTCACATATACTTTGTCTCATGTCATTG